GATTCTCAAGCACTCTCAACGATATAGGTGCATCGAAATTTTCCGTAACTCATTGTAAACCAGTCGATAAATTCTTGATCACACCTAACTGTTTTATATTTGCTCTAAAAGTCTAATTTATATTCGGAGAATTTATCGAATCGACCGAAAAACCATTCTGCTAATTTTTTTCAGGTATCCCAAAAATTATGATAATAACTATAAACAATTATATGATGCATATTAGCGTTAGCAGATGAAAAAAAGAAACTTCCGAAGAGATTTCGGGTAATGTGCAAATTTTTAGAAAAATCTAATATCCGAATTGATAAAAATACTGAAGGACGAAACCAATCACTACTATTAAATCCTTGGTTAAATTATGCTTATAAAGAATAATCACTTACAGCCATGTCCATCACAGACGACAACGATAAGACAATTCTGAAGCTTTTTGTAACAATAAGCATCCTCTCTAATATTTTTGTGACATTGCGTACCCTTACAGCTGGAAGCTACAATATGATAATCCTCCATAGTTATTATGTCAAACTGCGCATTTGCTATTTCTTCCATAATTGTTTCAAGGAAATCAAGGAAAATTAATGAACTACTCAAGGTGATCAGAGTTTATATATAATTTTTTTGTTTGAACTTGGAACCATTAGAGATAATATTCTCCTTTGAACCAATCATATGCAATCTGTACATTATGGAAATTTCTAAAAACAATTTCGCTTTTTACCGAGCAGTGGACTAAACTTTAACCAATTTTCTATAAAATTAGTGAGCAATATTGAGTCACTATGAACCTTGAGATAAAGAATTACTACGTCACCAATAATTGAAGGCGCAGTTAGATAGCCAATTTATAATAACTTTAATTACTAATACTTATACATTGAATGGTTAGAATAAAGTAAGAAAGCCATGTAACTATGCCTTGATTATTGGTGACACTAGAACCAGTAATAACCACAAAAAAAAAGACAAGAAAAATGAAAAATATATAAAATTACTTGATTAAGGTAAAACAATAGTAATCCGTAAACAAATCAAAGTATTTTGATAGCCCTTTTTAGACACCTTAATAATTCTAATTAGAGATAACCTGCGCATTTCATGCAGTGGCAGTGAAATGCATCATGTTATCGAAACTCTTAGTCATCCTGATTAGAGTAGCAATCCGGATGACTATACCGTACTCAATGCAGATATTATGTATTTAAACAGATATATCAGAATACGTATTAGAGCTGATTATTCGTTATCTTGTTTACGGATATCTTTATATCCGACCGACCGATACAATACGTACGTACAATATTAACAACACGGACCGTAGTACCCGGTGTAACAAATAATGTAGATCGATTTTTTTATTACGTATGCATGGGCTTTACCTATTTGTGTCGGTAATACAAACTCCTAATCAATAAACAAAAACGATCCTATCGAAACATTTTTAAACTTCTGGCGATAATTTCTCAATAACTACTCAATCAACTTTGGTGTAAGTTTTTTATTTTAATTATATATATTTGTAGAATTAAAATAAAAAAATTCATTGAAATTTTTTAGATAGTTATTGAGAAACCTTCATTAAAAGTTTTTAAAACACCTTAGAATATCAAAACAATTAAAATCGAGTAAATTTTTCCTTTTTTGAACTTTAACCGAAGATTTCTTGATAATTACCTATCCAAATTCAATGATTTTTATTTATTTTAATTCTATGAGTTCATGGAATTAAAATGAGAAAAATTTTATCGAATTTGGATAGCTGATTGTCGAGAAATATTCATTAAAAGTTAAAAAAAATTTAGTCGCAGCATCTTTTTTATAGACGTCTAAACTTTGAACGAAGATTACTCAGCACTTATCTAATCAAATTTGATCAAAATTTTTTTATTTTAAGTCTATATATTTGTATAATTAAAATAAAAAAAAAATTGATCAAATTTGATCAGGTAAGTGCCGAGTAATCTTCGTTCAATTTTAGACATCTATAAAAAAGAAGCTGCAGCTAAAATTTTTGAATTTTAATGAATATTTCTTGACAACCAGCTATTCAAATTTGATAATTTTTTTATTTTATTCTATGAACTCAGAATTAAAATAAAAAGATTTCATCAAATTTGAATAGATGGTTGTCAAGAAATCTTTATCTAAAGTTCAAAAAAATTTTTACAATTTTTTCTAATATTCTAAGGTTTTTTAAACGAAGAGTTTTGATAATTATTTAACCAATTTCAATAAATATTTTTTATTTTAATTTTATAGACATATATTACACCAAATGAAATTCATTGTTGGCTTATTTTCGTCGATTATCACGTGATAGTAATATTACATAGTAATTTTGTTGGAGATACTGGGGTAGTTATTTTGATGGCGACGCAGTGGTAGTTTGCCCTTGAGCCAAATGGCATGCCCGTATCATGTGAATATAAATTTTGGCCACGCGAATTTGAAGTACTCTGATTGGTTACAATACCTAGCAACTATCTCAAAAACACTTCCAAAAACTTGCATGACAGACAACCAAATTCCAAGATTAGATGTAGTATAAGTCATCAATAAGAATATAAAAGGCGCGATATATTCAAAATTTTTTAAGTAGAATACGAAGGTTATATATGACTTAGAAAAATTTCATATTACACCTGAGTACAGAATTTTTGGTGTTCTTGAAGTAGTTAGATCTAGAAATGTAGCATCTGGTAATACAGTCAGACCTCTCTAAATGAATAGCCGAGGAGCGGCCAAAAATCTTGGATTTAGTGAGTTATTGCACTTAGGGAGATAAAAATCTATAAGTTTATATGAATTGGAACCAAATAGGGCCATGCATTAAGAGATAGACCATGCATTTAAGAATATGCATTTAGAGAGGTCTGACTATATATCCTGGGCACAATAAGGGAGGCATGCCTCAGCCAGAGGCAACGTAAACAATCGAAGCGAAACCATTTTTTTACAAAACAAAAAAAAAAAAACAGAATTTTAATTAAGAAACCGCCTTCAGCGGTCTAATTAAAAATGCTCTTCGTAAAATTTTACTATTAATCATGAAGTTATTTTAACCCTACCCCAAACTTCAATGCAGTTTTATTCTTAATGAAAAATCACAGGGATTAACAATTTTTTGTGAGAACGCTACCTAAAATTAAAGACGTATACATCAACATTAAAGGGATGGGAGCTGGACATCGTCTCTAATTACCGTTGGCCACTGCCTACAGTACTCAGGGACTTATTCAAGAACATCATTTTTAAAATTGAATAGTACCAGGTACTATTCACAAATCTAGTAATCTCAGGGGTACTTTATGTGGTAGGATACTATTTTTTGGGATACTGTAGGCAGTGGCCAACGGTAGTAGAGTATGGAAAGGGTTTCCACTCCGCTCCCCTCCGCTCCAGCCTAATTATATATCCGTACACCTTTTTATATTATATAAATATAAATGCGTACTGTATAGCACTTTATATTTTTATTTTCCTAAATATAATATTTATTTTAAATGCAGGTATATCTGATTTTCTACGTTTGC